GCTCCTTTATGAAATTCATTATAGATGCCATAGTATTTCCTCCGTTCGCTACCACATAGCAAATAATCGTGAATGTACGAAACGCTTCTGGGTAAGCTTGAAGATTTAAAAGTTGAAGCGGAGCCTTATCTCTGTAAGTTTTCAACTCGTGACTTGGAGCAAGAAATTGAATGTAGGACAGTTAAATGCAAGCTGTCCAAGATCACTTCCATCCCATCGTTTCAAAAAACGAGATTCTCTATCAAACTGTGGACAACTTTTTTTTTTCGCCTGTCTTTGAGCTGGAACTCAAACATAGTTCAACAGATCCCTTGGATGAATTTGTCCTCGTAGCCTTGAACTTTTCTTGGATTTGAAAATGCTGTATTTCGTGTAAATATTCAGATCCCGCTAAGTAAATTGCGTTATAGTGCTGGAAGTTCATTTACCTGCGGTTGAAAAGCGATTCAAATGTCAGCTGAAAATTTTGCTGTTTTGGCGGTCGGAAGTAGTATTGACTTCCAGTCGTTTCTATTTTAAACATTTTGAGTGTGTAGACAAATTAAGTATCTCACACAGCAAAAGTGAAGAATTCAACAACAAAAATGTGATTTCATTCAAACTTGGTTAGAGTTGATTAGAAATCTCATATCCAACGCGCCTTTGAAATATTTGTTTAAAAGACCAGAAGCAAATGCAAACAGCTGCGCGGTTGTTTAAAATTTCACAACGTGGACGTCGCAGATGAGTTCTTGCTTTGCTATCACCGTTTTTCCCGTTATAAGACGAAGTCAGGGCTGCACACCACGATTTCGATCGTTCTCCATAAGATCTAAGATCATCGCACCCTGAAACGGTGTCTCAACTCCAAAACTGTGTGCGTAGTACGCTGAAAACGAGCGTTTTACCATCATTTCCAGGTTCGTTTCTTTCTGCCTATTTGCAGACTGAACACGGCGCGCAAGAGGCTTGGGCTTAAAGTCAATTTTTTTTCTCTACTGAGAGTGGTACGGTGGATTTTGCACAATACTTACTCCATCCCTACAGTAACACCTCGCTTTAATCGGCTGTCCTGACCAACCAATCAGACAGCGGGATGACACTAACACAGTTAAACAACGCACCAAACATGAATATTCTGCGGGGTTTCCTGTGAGCACTTGAGCTCGAATCAATATTCGCTGAAATACTATCGAAGGCGAAGAGGTGCAGATTTCTTATCAAATTTCACTCGGCAAACGTTTATTATTTATTCGAATCACGGTTGAAGAGCTTGAATTTAAACAGAGCAAATTTCTAATTGCCATCTTTTATTGTTGTTTAAACAGAATTTTACAGAAGGTGACATTATGATGGTATTCAAACAAATGATGTGCATGAATTAAAGCTAACCATTATCAGTAATTTATGTCTTCATGATATCTTTCAGAGTCCAAGCCATATTTTATTCAGGAACCAGCAAGCCCACAAAGTGCTACGGAAGGTGACAATATTACACTTAGCTGGAGTTACAACCTTGATGAGACCTTCCGGCAGACTTCACTTCAAATTTGGAAAGTTTTGGCCAATGGTTACCAAAACATGAGTGTCATTAAATACCCAAACAACAACCCACAATTTAACAATGAATTCGGCGATAGATTTCATTTGCAAATAATGTCAGAGAATCAAACATCAGTGGAAATAACTGGAATACCAAGATCCGACAGTGGAAAATATCAGTATCAGATTACTACAAGCGACTTCCAATTGGTTACAAGTTCTGTTGAACTCTCAGTGCTGTGTAAGTACAGGAACTTAACAAACAGCTCTAACACTAAAATGATTATAAATGATTGATGTGTTTAGAACATTTAATCTATAACATCTCCTACTGTTGTTTATGGTACCAGCTAGTCTGTGATCAAATTATTGTGTGTGTGTGTGTGTGTGTGTGTGCGTGTGTGAGTGTGCGCGTGTGTGTGCGCGTGTGTGTGTGTGTGTGTGTGTGTGTGTGTGCGCGTGTGTATATCATGGACAGCTGTGTGAAATGCTGGTGCAAACAAAATTAGTAAGTGACAAAATTCTTAACAATACTGTACTGTAAAGAAAGTAGACTGAATTGAGATGAAATGACACCATCCCAGCAGATTTGGTATACGTGCACTATATCTTCTTTTCGTTCAATAACGAATTTGATCATAGTTGTTATTCAGATTTCTTGGGTGGTACTGAAGACATTTCACTTTCTGTATCTCTTAACTAAAAACCTTTCTGTTCCTGTGGTTGACAGTAGGCTGCTGGCCGCCCCTGCCAAACGGGTGTCATCCAAAAATGCAAGGAATATACGATTTAGAACAAGAGACCGCAGTGATCTTGACAAGATCAACAAGATTAATGCATCTCTTCAACAAGATTAATGCAGTAATGAGTAACGGAGAAACAAGAAAATGAGTCACAACAATATGCTCTTATTAGTAAGTGACCCTGCCGGCGACTTTCTGGAAACTTATGAAGCAATCTCATGAAGTGAGATCTAAAACGTATCGGGATTTATTTAGTCCTTTCAATCAAGCTGCACTTTTCGGATTAATTTTCATCGTAAAAATTATTTTTAGAGCTTGTACTATGTATCGATAAACAAAGGAACAAATCGTTTAGGCACAAACTCAGCGCTTCAATTTTTTACAATTTATCTCATGTCAAAATTTGCAGCTGGATCCATTGCTAATTGAAACACTTTGGCAGACAAGGATAACCGTGTGCTATAAAAATTTGTGAAGATTAAAGTTTCCAAGAACATGGCGAATCGAATTTGGATTTTACTTGTAAAATAAGAGAACGAAAACAACAACCATCAACCAGAAACTCTTTTAGAGGACCTTTGTTTAGATTGTCAGAGCCTGATAACCAGCGCCTGCACTGAATGTTGGAAGTGTTTTCCATGGAGATTATAAGACTATGGCCGCGACCAAATTTTTTAAAGTTGGAATTTTCCTTAGGAATCCCAAGTAGTAATGAAGACGCAATTGATGTAAATATAGTTACGTTTGATAATGCAAGTCATAATCTTGGATGTCCTGTTGTTTCAAGGGTGAACTTTTCCGAACTTTTTTGTCGACCTTCTGCGTTTCTTGCGCCATTTTGAACAAGTATCATGTGCATTTAGAACTAATGATCAAATATGAAAAAGTGGCATCCGCGCGTCTGCCTTTCAAAGTTTTAAACTCTGATTCAGTCAGATATTCTGAAACTTAAAATGAAAATTATAAATGCTATAGAATACTCTGCTTGGTAAATAAGAGACATTTATGGGAGAAGTACGGTCTAGAAAAAGTTTATCAGAATCAAAAGACATTTTCCTCAGGAGTTCGAAAATAACCGCCCTTTTGTCCAGCTTGCCTTGCATTAGCAACAAGAGCACTTTGAAGTTGCCTATATATATAACTTTCGAGGTAAGAAACACGCCATCTTGGACGTCAGTTATGATGTAGCAATAGTTAAACTTTGTTCGAAACTTTGTCCTTGTCGACCTGTACTTTGGCCTTTATGAAAACAATTTCTAATAGTTGAACTATGGTGAACTGTCTTGTAGCTGAATGTCAAAATCCATACTAAATATTCAAAAGGAAAACGTGTAAGCCTCCATAAGCTACTGGAAAGTGAAGTATTAAAGAAAATTTAGCTTTCAAAGATAACCCTCGAGGACGGCTTGCAGAGCCCTGCAAAACCGGCAGAACTTCCAAAACGAAGACTTACAGCGAGAATTACAAGCATGAAAGTTGTCGTTGTTGATCTTCGCTTCCATTTTTAACACCAGTTCCACTTATTTCTTCTATAAAAGCTCGAAATGGTGATACACAACGTGTAGTAAACTCTCAGTCGCCACCCTTAACCAAAGGCGATTTTCAACGTCCTGCGCTTTTCCAAGCAGTGTCTAGATATATCTTGACTCTCCTATGTCTGTTATGAGTCCGCAAAGTAAAAGGTTCTCTATTCCGCCAGTCGCATAATCCGACGGAAAAAAAAAAAAAAAAAAAAAAAAACTAAAGTGCACTCAGTGCATTTTCGGCTAATAAAACAGACACATTTGCATCAAGTACAAATTGTCCTTCCCTAAGCAGGTGCCCATAGTTCACTATCGACTGGACTCAATAGAAATAATTACAATAATTTATGCCTTCCAAACAACTACCTGACGTAAATATGAAGCGCTGATGCTGTCGAAAGGAATCGGAAGTTTCATTTTTTAAACTTCTATATTGAGGTAATTTCTAGTCATGGTAAACACTATATGACAGAGGCGACTTTCTGGCTCGTTTCGTAAATAACGAAGCTCCGCTTCTCATGAGTCGCGACATTTTAAACACAATAGAATGAAAAATATTGCGGTAAAGCTAATTCTAAGCCATACAGTAAAAAAACCAACTTAAATGAAAAAGTTGACACAAGCAGAATTTACTACTAAAAAAATTAACTTCTGATTTTTTTCTGCGTTAATTTTGGCAACTAAATGTTTCTAATCAATTTTGTCGGTGTCTATGCACAGGAAGAATGATCTTAAAGTCCATCATTTCTAACTTATTGCATGCCAACTGGGGCTGTTCTCAGACCCAAGTGGCTCGTGATCAGTCATACACCAAAGCTGGGCTCCTGAAGCTGCAAAAATAAGTCATTTCATTCCGAGCTAGCAATGCATGTATAATAAGTCCGTCGCGAGCACTGCGGTCTCCTTTAATAAAGTAATTATCTCTCCAGGGCTAGGATTTTTTGGAGGGAAAAAACATTTCCCTTTCTAATTGAGTTAATATCCTAGTACAGTTAATTCTTGGGAGCATACATTCTGGTTTTCCGTAGGTTTCTCTCGACAGTTGCCGCGAAAGAAACACTCCCGATTTCCAAGACGCGAGCGAATGAGCGGGTCGACGTTTCTTCTTGAAAGTAATTTTCCTGACTTTCTCTCTCTCTTTCTCCGAAACAGCGGTATCTCCTTTCTCTGAAAAGGAGCCATGTTTCGTTTGAAACATATATAGATGTATTACATCCAAGTCGAGAATTTAATCAATAGCGCNTGCACTCAGTGCATTTTCGGCTAATAAAACAGACACATTTGCATCAAGTACAAATTGTCCTTCCCTAAGCAGGTGCCCATAGTTCACTATCGACTGGACTCAATAGAAATAATTACAATAATTTATGCCTTCCAAACAACTACCTGACGTAAATATGAAGCGCTGATGCTGTCGAAAGGAATCGGAAGTTTCATTTTTTAAACTTCTATATTGAGGTAATTTCTAGTCATGGTAAACACTATATGACAGAGGCGACTTTCTGGCTCGTTTCGTAAATAACGAAGCTCCGCTTCTCATGAGTCGCGACATTTTAAACACAATAGAATGAAAAATATTGCGGTAAAGCTAATTCTAAGCCATAGAGTAAAAAAACCAACTTAAATGTAAAAGTTGACACAAGCAGAATTTACTACTAAAAAAATTAACTTCTGATTTTTTTCTGCGTTAATTTTGGCAACTAAATGTTTCTAATCAATTTTGTCGGTGTTTATGCACAGGAAGAATGATCTTAAAGTCCATCATTTCTAACTTATTGCATGCCATCTGGGGCTGTTCTCAGACCCAAGTGGCTCGTGATCAGTTATACACCAAAGCTGGGCTCCTGAAGCTGCAAAAATAATTCATTTCATTCCGAGGTAGCAATGCATGTATAATAAATCCGTCGCGAGCACTGCGGTCTCCTTTAATAAAGTAATTATTTCTCCAGGGCTAGGATATTTTGGAGGGAAAAAACATTTCCCTTTCTAATTGAGTTAATATCCTAGTACAGTTAATTCTTGGGAGCATACATTCTCGTTTTCCGTAGGTTTCTCTCGACAGTTGCCGCAAGAGAAACACTCCCGATTTCCAAGACGCGAGCGAATGAGCGGGTCGACGTTTCTTCTTGAAAGTAATTTTCCTGACTTTCTCTCTCTCTTTCTCCGAAACAGCGGTATCTCCTGTCTCTGAAAAGGAGCCATGTTTCGTTGGAAACATATATAGATGTATTACATCCAAGTCGAGAATTTAATCAATAGCGCCCTCCACGCCAATGTTTTCCTTGCTTACATTCATCCCAGCAGGGATTAAAATGAGCTTGCTAGACTTCTGTTGCCACGTCATAACAAATATGGCGGTTTTCAATTTGAAAATGCTGATCTTTTGAACGTAATTGTTCACAACTAAAACGCTTTTAGCTCCAATGCATAGCCAGTTAGGACAATGCAAGTGACTTTCGATATAAGTAAACTTTTTCTAGACTGTACTTTCCCTTTAATGGGCAACGATAAGAGGTGCAACTACCTTCGAAGGAAAGTCACCCAACTGTGTCTATTGATTATAAACTATGTTTCCAACGCCTCCACAGTCTTCAAGGAAAATTGTTAAGAGATTCGGAACTTATCAGGGAATATAATGAAATAATAAATGAGAAATTGAACAAAGAAATCATAGAAAAGATGCCCGTGGGGGATCGAAACGAGAAATAAAGCGAAAATGTGCACTACCTACCACACACAAGATTGATCGGACAGTCAACATTAATGGTTGGAATCGACGAAGTAGACAGAACAATTCCCGTGGCTCAAGGATCCCGATGATCGGAACTCTGAAATTGTGCATTTGAGGTTCACCCGTCTCGTATTTGAACTGAGATCATTATTCGCTATTTTAGCTTCGCTAATTCGATATCATTTAGATGGACAGGTTTCATAGGAGTCAGACTGGACTTCATTCATCTCTTGAAGAATTCTTC